ACCCTAATTATTCTATAATTCTATGATTCTATTATCATTCTGACCTTCATTTTATTTTTTTATCTCTATTTTTCTTCCTGTGCCCCATTCAGCACCTATCTGTACTATTTAGGAAAATCCCTATACATAATTCTTGAAAATGTTTTGAAGAATGTTCGTGGCATTCATAAGAAAACATTGTCAAGAAGTAGTTTTTTCAAATTTCATCAAGTAAATAACGTAAGTGATTTTTATCAAACTAGATTTTTATAGGAAATTCCTATTGTGGCCTGAAAATGGATATTTTGTGTATGGCTATAAAAAGATCAGATTATTACCTGTTTGCTTTTTTTAGGTTTTTCAGTTTTAGTCATAGCCTGAGAGAAGTCTTCCAGTTCCTGTGATAGCATTAGTATTTTATTGTCATCTTCTTCAGGTTCTTCATCAAAATGGGGTCCAACTTTCTCTTTAGTTTTGGGTAGGATCAATTCCTGTAGATATTCTTCAAACTGAATATGGAAAATGCCTAATTTGTCTGCTAGCTGTCGTGCACAAATAGTTTTACCTGCTCCATGAGCCCCAATTAAGCACACTCGTAATGGAGGAGCCTATAGGAAAAAATTGAAATAGATTGAAACAACTTGGAGTCTACCCCCTACTGTTTTTCAATTTCAAAATATAAAAATTACATCAAAACCTGTCACACAATTTTGCATTTTATTTCTTCCAGGCTTTTAATTGCTGTTCCAAACAGATAACCTGCTCACTGGAAATACTGAACAAATGCGTTATGGCAGTTGATGCCAGTAGGTAAAAAGGTAGTTTCATCAGACAATTCTGGTAAATCTTCCCTTCTTTAGCTTTCTTTGCCTTACAAAACAAACAAACAAACAAACAAACAAACAAAAAACCCCCAAAAACCTTAAAGATAGTAAAACCTCCCAAAACCCCCAATATGTGTGATTTCTTAATCACATTTTAGGATTATTGTAAACCTTTATAATCTTCTTCTCTTCTCTGCTTTATTTGCATCATTATTCAATGCGTTAATTTAAGTGTACACTAAAAAGTCACTAAGGAAGTTTTATTTCTTTCAAGAACTTGCCTGATATTTTATCATTACCTAAAAGAAAAAAAAAATCAGCAATAATAAACAATTATAAATGATAATGGAAAATAGTAATTTTAATCTGTCATTATCTGCTTCAAGCAATTTTGAAGATTCTCACTTGTATTGGTTCATTGTGAGCCACATATTCCTCAGGGTTCTTCAAAAATTTATCTCTGTACTCTGGAGATGAGAAGTAATAAATCTTTTCTCGATAGTTAGCTGCATGATCATAGAGTCCTGGGTAAAGGACAAAGTTCTCTTTCAGACTGACTGGACAAAAATGTTTCGTGTCTCCCATGTGCCTTTTCTTTTCCTTAATTTGTTCTTCATCCTGAAAATATTATGAAAATTTTTAAAAAACTGTTTGCATTCAGTAGTTCACTTAGATTTTAGGTAGATCAGATTAAGCAATGTCAAATACATCAGCTGAGCACTGAATGAGAATGGTATTCTCAAGGTAGTTTGTAAAAGTCTGTGAATATAAGTCTATGAAAATACACGCTACTTAGATTCAGAGTCAGAATACAAAACTGCCCAAACTAGTAAGAAAAGAATGACCTTTTAAAGTTTGAAATTATAATATCATAGGTAGCTGTTAAAGACCAAAATTAGGCTATGTTCTTGAAACTCATTTTCTGTTGCTTCTACACGTGCAGAAGTAAATCTCCTCAGAAAAGGCAATGAGAACTGGTCTTGTGAAGACAGATTACTTATCCAATAAAATTAATTTCTAAAAAATCTACTCAATACAGCTCCAGTACAATATATGGATATTCTGTACTGTTAAATTTGGGGATGGGACTCTTCCAGTATGGGATAAAAGTAAAAGAAAGGCAAAGCTAGACCTTTAATGTCATTAATGTGGGTGTTCAAAAATTATCAAAGCTGAGATGAAACAGGGGATTGCGCATTAGGACTCTGCATCTTCTGATGCATACGTGATGTCTCACAGAATCATTTTTAATTGACAGAAATCAAAGTTCACATTTGTTTCTTTAATAACCGCTCTCTTTACCATCTGTACATTCATTCTCTCTATTAGCATGGTTATTTCTGATTCTTGCTGGAGTAAAACTACTATCAGCCAGAACAGAGGAATATAAGGAAAGTGTTCTTGAAGCATAGGCCGATATTTATTCTGTAAGAAGACTAAAACTAGTTCATACAAAATCAAGTGCAAAATCTGACTTCTCTGGGATTATGTTGAAATTGAAAATAAATGAGTTAAAATGAAAGCATAAACAGACAAAGCCAGCATCCTTACTTCTTCATTCTCATTCTCCTCTTCTTCAACTTCTTCATCTTCACTTTCTGCAGCCAGATCTTCTGCCTCCTCATCTAAGTCTTCAGCAGATAATTCCCAACCATGATATTTAAAAGGTTCTGAAAAAGGTTAATTTTTAAAATTTTTTTTCTGTTTCAATATTTTTCATTTGACTGTGTCGTTGTAGTAATGACAGAAAAAACATAATATTATTTATCCAGTATTCAAAATTGTTTGAGATTTGAGAACACAGGTGAAGAAAAGTAATTGGCAAAAAAAAAAAGAAAAAGTATCAATACTGTAAAAAAAATCCAGTCTTGAAACAGAGTCTATGCAGATGGGTAGATTAGATTATTACATACCCTGAAAGTCCCATTGACTCAGATGAATACTGTACATTAATGAACCTTTGTTATCTGTTCATTTCTCAAACCAGTATCCTGACATAAACAGACACAAAAAGTAACTGGGAAACTGCATTGTCAGAGTGTTTATGGAGCTATACATACATATGTATATAGTCCCATATGTATTTTTAAAATATATATATTCACCACTTTTCCTATGTCTTAAAGGCTGGCTGTGTGCTTTTTGGCTCACCCACAGAACACAGCATGTCCTGCTCCAACTACATGTTAGTAATACAGAACTGAGTATAACCTACACCATACACCATTCAACATACAAGCTCTCCAAAATCCCTCTTGTTAGGTTAAGTACAAATCACATAAACAGTATTACTTACTTTCCATAACCAGCACTGTTTGATTAAGCAGACTTTCTGGAGTTTGCTCAGCAATCTCTAAATCAGCAACCTGAACTACAGATGACTGCTTGATTTCTGATTCCACTGTTTTCCAGTCGTTCATGAAAAGGTCTATCTTCTTTCTAACTGTTTCCATTTCTGGCATATCTAGAAAATCATCCTCTGTAAACTCAGGTAGTATGATTTCTGAAAATCAAATGGTATATAGAAGGCAATGCTCCATTATGCTTTAGGTTTATTATTCTTTTCCTCAACTATGGTGGCATTTTTTTTTTAATGCTGCTTCCTTCCCTCCCCCGTAATTACGAATTATTATATTACTAGTTTACAAAGATACTTTAAAAATGCCAAATTCATTTTGTTGATGCAGTATATACAAGGTCAAATTACTTAACTAAATTTGCATATGGTTACTTAAATCATCACCCAAATATATATGACTCTTTCTGCAAATAAATGTAAGGAATCTGCTTTAATTTAAAAATTACATTTAATGACAAACAGCTTCTGACAGGGTATCCATACGGTCATGCCTCATATGGAATATGCCAGTATAGATAAAAATAGAGTAGGAAAACTGACACACAGTGCAAAGAAGCAACTTCATGTTCTGACCTGGTTCAGGTTCAGTTACTGAAGCTGTTGTGGAGTGTTCAGGTTGCATGTTAGGTATCTAACACATATTTCAAGTGGAGCATGTTCTCTTTACTTGAATAGAAGAATAATGCATACTACTAGGCATGTTTCTTCTTCAGCGTAAGATCTCAATATACAGAATTAAACTTTTATTTACTCAAAGGCAATTGGGTATATAAGGATCAACACGGCAAAATTGCAGAGAAAATAGAAGATTTAGGGGAGAAAGGAAAATGAAGGGATGAAACGAAGAAGACCGCTTCAGCATAAATGTCAAGGATATGAGGGATAGTATCAAAGACTGAAGTCCTAAACTGATGAAGGCAAAGCAGTGAGCCAGAACTCTAATATATGCAGTATAAGAGTTCTTACACAAATTACAACTTATGTCTGACAGACCGTCCTCTTAGGGAAGTCTGCTGCCTCCCTGGGGTGCTGGTTAAAGACATCCCTAGGAAACTTCCAAGCCAAGCCTTGGACTATTTCCTATTATTGCTCTTCCATGTGGGTGGCAATGAAGCAGCAACGCATAGTCCAAGGGTTACTTCAAGGCCTTGGGATGGTTGGTAAGGGAATCTGGAGCATCCTCTCTCCTTCCTGTTGCAGGCAGCAACATTGGAAGAAACAGATAGACCCAGTCTATTAATATACGGCTCTGTGTCTTGTGTCACCACCACAGTTCTGTGTTTTTTGATAATGGGATGGCCTACATGGCACCAGGCTTGCTGACATCAGATGGGATTCGCCCTTCTCAAAAGGTGAAGAGGATCTTTGCTCATGAGCTAGAAGGGCTTATTGGAGAGCTTTAAACTAGACTTGAAGGGAGAGTGGAATAAAACCAGGCTTGCTTGTCATACAGTGTGGGATGATACACCCAAGGTTAGAGGGATGGGGTGCTAGCGAGGGCCCTCAGCCTGTTGCTCTGAGATGTGCTGGCTACACTAGAGTACACTTGAAGTCTTACAGAGATAAACCAGCGGCTCCTGAGGTAATAAGAGCCAATAGGGAAACACGTGTGAAATACCTCAAAGGAATTAAGGGGTGTTCCTCTAAGAAGGTGACAGGCTGACAGCCCACCCTAAATATCTCTACAACAATGTGCAAAGCATGGGCAACAAACAGGAGGAGTTGGAAGTGACTGTGCTAATAGAAAGCCATTACTGAAACTTGGAGGGATGAAACCCATGACTAGAGCGCAGCTATCAACAGCTACAAGCTGTTTGGAAGGGAAGGGACAGGCGGGGATGAAGGGATTGCCCTCTGCATCAAGAAATGGATAAAGCATGAAGTGCTGTGACTGGACGAAGGGTAATGGTATTATGGGTAAATTTAGACTAGTATAAGGAAGACATCTTTTACAGTGGGGGTGGTGAAACACTGAAACAGGTTGCCCAGAGAGATGGTAGATGCCTCATCTCTGGAAACATTCAAGGTCAGGTTGGATGGAGCTCTGGACTAGATGACCTTTAAAGGTCTCTTCCAATTCAAGTTATTCTATGAGTCTATGACAGGTAGACAAAGATTATGATCCATGTTTTAAAAGTGATCTGTGATGGGAATGTCTCAATTCCTGGATAACTGATCTTTCACCTTTGCAGAGATGCTGACACACTTTTGCCAGTTACATGAAACAGAAACTGTGGGTGTTAAACAGCTTGAAATTTAGATCTATTTGTTCAAAGAACTGGAGTACTTCCATTTCACAACCAAGTCTGCAAAAGAATTGGAAAAGGGAATTAATTTCTTCTGACTTTCAAGCCTCATCTGTGTGATTTAACCACTAAACCAGGCCTCATAAGAGTTATGAATACATCTTTCCAATTATGCATTGTTATAAATGTACAGAAATTAATAAAGAGGTGATCTGTTACATATTTAGAGACAACTTGGTCATCATACATGTATAATAAAAAATAAAAGCTTACAGTAGATAATGGCATAAATTATGCACTATATCTGCCTTAAAATTACACTGCTATTCCTATTCCCTGCATTCACGTAATGTTCAATCCTGATTTTCTTATTTTTCTTATCAGTTTTCTCTTGTGTTCTATTTAATAATTCTGTTATCAGTACTGTCAGCTAACAGACAGAAAAGCAGTTGAGAGCAGTGACTTAAATGGTCTGATACTACTGTAAGTTTGCTAGGACTTACAGTGTATGCTGTGTTTGTCTCTTACCAGAAATAAAGCTGCAAGGAAGAGCTTGAACAGCGGAAGGAGTGATTTTCTACTTTGCTATAATTTCCCTCTCGTCTTGTTTCTGTCTTGTTTTGAATTTGGAAGAGCAGGAAAAGATTTTGACACAAGCAACAACAGGTTCGATTTAATCCAATGAACTTTTGCTGATTTTTACAAAAAAAGGACCATTAGTACTTGTTTTCCTTATATAATTATCTACACCAAAAAAGGAAAACCTTCCATAATGCCTTGTGTGTTAAAAGCATTTTCTTAAAAATATTAAAAACCAAAATATTAAAAACCCAGTGTTTCACTATGTGAAATTTCAGCACTGTAACATTCATTTTGAGTTTGCTCCAACCTGAAAAACCTAAACAATTTTTCTGGCTCATGAAGTTAAATTGCCCTGTTACAATTTTCTTGTTTAAGAAAACTACTATTTCCTCCCAGAACTGAACGTGTCTCAATCTCTCGCGCATTGTTGAAGAAATTCACAAATGCCACATTTAATTTCCCAAAACAGAGCCAGATCAAAAAATGCTAGTAACAAGTACAATGTAGCTGGATTGCAGTGATTATCTACCAGTCAGATTTGGCAGGTCTGAACATAATGGTCAGAGTAGACGTGCTGCCTAACTTTTGTCTAACATGCTAACTAAAGCATTGCCTGGAAGTCTCAATAGCAGCTTGGCTATGTGAGCACCTGCAGGACAAGGAACACATCTAACAAGTTTTTATGACTTGGATGGCTGAGCTACCTATAAAGCTTTTATACCAAAGGTCAGTGACACCACTGTCTTCTAGAAGCAAGCAAGCCCCTGCCCTGCCTCCAGCGAGTTAATTGCCAAAGAGCTAGAGTTCTTTTTTCCTTGGCCAAATTTAGAAACGTGCAGGGTATCAAATACGTGCCCTCCTTTTAACATCCCTTCATGGATCACTAAGGTTGGCCCTTTGCTAGTTTGCTACTTGTTGTACCTATTTCTACAACTCTTAATTCCATATATGAAGCCAGGCACTTTAAAGTTAGCATAGCAGTTTTGGGCACTGAAATGTCTACATCTCCTTGTGAGTCTGGGTCTTAATGTGTAGTCCTCTAGAAATACAGGAAATTTCTAGATATTTAAGTGCACTTAAGAATTTGATTCTTCCACTTATGAGGCTGAAACTTTTATTGTCTCAATACCCCCATTTATCTCTACTATGTATCTGACAAACTGAGATTTGAAATAAGTCAGGCCTTCTATGGCAACTGATACACTGGCTTAGGGACCTGAGGGTGCCCATGGGCCCAGCTGTCACTGCTCAGGCCCCTGGGGCTCCCCCCCTCCACCTGCAGCCCAGGACCGCACGTCAGCCCCCAGGGCCATCAGCTGCTGCCCCAGCAATGCTGCCCCAGGACCAGTCTCCAGCCCCCACAGCTCTGCCTGGCCATGGGCTCTGCTGAGCTGGGCCCACCCATGGGCTGATATCCCAGCCTGGCATCAGCTCACCCCTGTCCCAGGTGCTCAATACCCAGGATCAGATCTGCCCTGCTCCTGGCGGGGGTGGTGGGACTGGCTCTGGCTGCTGGGCCCTGTCCTGATGGCTATGTTACCACACTGTGCTGCCAGCTCCCTGTTCCTTTGGGAGCAGTTAGCCCTCACAGTGTCCTGACATGCTATCCCCAAGATGAACTGCTAAACTTTATTTTAATTGAGCTACTTTTAAGTAAGTGGTTAACAAATAAGCATTTTCTCAAGTATTTTTGTGATTTTTTTTTTATAGCTTTGAACAACACAATGATTAGACTCACACCTCAGTGGCTAACCTTCCCTCGATTTGAATGATTATTAGTCTAAACATAAACCAGAAGTGCAAAACTGCATATTAAGCAGAAACACCTTAAGATCACCTTAATTCAAGATCAAATAGTCTGATCTTGAATTAGAAATTCTTTTTTTCTTGAAAATGTTTATTAATACTTGCATTTTACTAAACTACACATTCATTCTGTATATGTCATATTAGTTATCCCCTGCAATGACAGTTCTGTCTCTTGCCGTGATTCCAAATAGGAACATGAAAATGCCTTCCTTTTAATGTTCATTAAAAGATGTTGTGTAAATGGTACAATTAAGTATGTTATATTCAGTAGTGATGTATTCCAAATGAGACAGAGATGTAGCCAGGTAAAACCTGCCTGAATTTGGGCAGCTCTAATAAGTTATGTAATGATGATTCCATTAGGAACACAGATTTTAAGAAAATAAGCAAAGGATACATTAATAACCAGGTTATGTGAACTGCTTTTTGCACGTGGCATCCCTGGCACATTCACGCTGTAGAAATCACATGCACTGCCTTGTGAACCACAGCCCTATTCACAGCAAT